GGAATAGGTCGTTGTGGGACAGGGTGTGGCGGATGGACTTCTGCCAGCCCTGCTTGTTGTCCTGGTAGAAGGGGAACCGGTCCATGATGAACTGGTAGATGCCACTCAGGGTGGCGCGCTGCTGAGGCGCGCTCCTAATGGCCATGGCAATCAGGGCGATGTAGCTGTAGGGCGGCTTCTGGGGGGGCTCCCGGAGGCCCTGCGGCCCCGGAACGAGACCCGCATGCAGCGCGGGCACGACTCCCGCTGAGCCGTCGGTGCTGCGCGCGTACAAGTAGAAAAGCGGGTGCGCGGAGAAGCCGAGGCCCGGGGTCTGAGCCGAGGCTCCGATGGGCGGGAGGCGGGTGTAGAGAGTCATGAAGGCCGGTGATGGAGCGCGGTGGAGCAGGGAGGCTGCAGCTGTGCCGCCGCCGTGAGTCTGAGCTCAGAGTTCTGCAGAGTTGGCTCTAAATGTCCGTCACACACACTTCCTGCAGGGCCACCCACAACAATCCAACTTTACACTACACTCTGTGTGTCTGTGTGCACGTGCGTGTGCTCGTCAGCAGCTGCAGCAGCAGCAGCCAATCAGGTGGCGTCTTATTCCCCGCGTGTGTTTACAGAATTAGTCTGTTGATAAGTCTGCCCACCCAGGCCGAATCAAGCTGTGTTTATTTAGAGAAGAAATGTTGCGGCAGCAGATCCATAAACCCACTGATGATGTGCTGTTTGAAAAATCACCCGGCTCGGGGACGCGCACGAGCACGAGCACGGGAGTGAGGAAGAAGGACGAAGAAAACATGAGAAAAACTGACGTTGTTTGTTTGTTTGTCTTTTCTGTCCTGTTTGTTTGGACAGGGACAGGACAGAAGACCTCTAGGGGGCGCTCCAGCACCTGAGGGTTTTTTTAAACAACTAATTTGTGACCATTACCAGTCCAACTGGTTACTGAAGAACAGACCACAGTGGTTCTGGTTCCAGTCCGGTCTGTGCTGGGACCACAGTCCGGTCATGGTCCTTCACTCCACTGTGTTCCAGGTCATTCTTTAACTTTTTTACCACTAGAGAATTAATGACCATCTGTGGTGTGGTACCAGCAGAGACCACAGTAGAAACTCTTCATCACAGAGTTTAGACAAATCAACACATTCTCCGTGTTTCTTTTTTTTTACATCTTTACCAAAAATTTTAAATATTTATTTGGTAACTGAGCGCCCCCTGGGTGGTCGCCTGAGTCCACACATCTGATTTAAGTAAGACCCCGACCCGTCACTGTGGGTTCCCTGCTTTACAACAATAAAACAGACCAGAATAATAATAATAATATATAATAATAATAATAATAAAGATCTGGGGCTGGGGCACTGTGGGCCCCACTTCTTTCTACCCTACAAGGCCAACGCTGCAGACTCTGTTGTTTGTGTCCATGAACGCAGTGTTTTCCTGTTTATGGGCTGCCTCAGGATCATCACAGCAGCACAAGTGCTCACAGCTGGATCCTGCTTACATTAGAGGAAGAAACGCACGAGTCGCTCCGTCCACCGTTCTCCCTTTAAACCCACGCTGATTCATTAACAAATTAAACTAAACTAACGTCTTCAGGCCACAGTGAGAGGCTGCGGCTGTCTGTCCTTTAAACCCACACCAAAGTCCAGAGAGAAAATCAGTGGTTTTAGTTCTCAGAGACTCCTTAGGTGTTAATATTAGAGCTGTCAATCAATTAGAAATGTGATTCTGGTAAATTATAGGGTAGCTGTTGATTATTCACGACTGAAATCCGACTGTAATTGATGCAAACTGACCACAGGAGGCAGCAAAGCAGCAACACTACTGGGAAGTGAACTAACCCTGTGAGGTTTGTTGTCTGACATGTTTTTATCTTTCCCCTGATCTGGAGCCTGACTGGTTTTACCCTGGAATTCCTGGCCAGGGGGCGCTCCCCAGTTTATATAATCACACTGAAGACAGTTCAACTGATACACACTTTATTAACATTGTTCTTTTTAACTCTGAACCAACAAATCTGGATTCTTTAGAGCCCACTGTCAGGACCCTGTTGACCTCAGTCACAGCTGTGGTCGTTGGTCGACCCTTCACCTTCATTGAGCAGGTACCTAATGGCCCAGTACAGCACAGACTTTTCCACTTTGAAGTTCTTAAAGTCCTGGATGTTCTGTGTAGTAGTCTTGTATGTGTAGCTGAAGGGGGCGCCGCAGGGATGAACTTGACCTCTGGGAGTGCCCCTCATGCTCCCATTCTTCCCTTTCTCGTTACTTTCCTTTTGGGTACTCGAGCATGAAGGTTTTTCCAAATCCCAAGATGGCGTCTCCGGAGCATCACCTTTCTTCCTCTTTGAGGCTCTTGGCTCTGGTGCCACCTCCTGGTCGGGACCAGCACCAGTAGCAGCCGCAGAAGTCAGTGGCTCGGGGGAAGCAGGTGAGAGGTGTTGGCCTGGGGGTCCCAGTGGTGGTCTCTGGGACGAGGATAAGGACTCATCTCTGCTGCTCACCGATGTCGACACTGACGACCTGGGGTTGGGGACAGGAAGCTGAGGGCTCCTCAGTCTGGTATTAGCTTTGGACTGGGCCTTGGATGAGGTGGCAACAGGTAACAGGCAACAGACGGCCTGACTTGTTTTTATGTCCGTCACCGACGTCGTACCTGAGGACGTCTGAGACGGACGATACGGACAGAGACGTATCCTGGGTTTCCTGGTTTCCAGTAATGGTTGGTCAGTTAGTGACGATATCGAGGTGTTGCTGGAGGAGGCGCTGCAGGGAGGAGGGAACATGTCCCAGGGATTGGTGAAGGCTAGAAGCCGGCTGTCAGCCACAGGCCACGTCACCTCCTCAGTCCATCCCTCAGGGTTCTCTGGACTGACGGAAACTTCTGCAGGAGGTGAGGCAGGTGTTTGAAGCTGTGGAGCGCCCTCTTCAGGTATGATGAGACATTTCACAGGGACACTGAAGAGTTTGTGGTTCTTAAACAAGATCCGATCCCGTTCCCAGTCTGTGGGAGTTGAAGCTGAAGGTGGACCTGGGGTTTTAGAGGAGGTCGAAGGTCGCAGCCTCAGACGACCTCTGTTTGCTGCCAGTTTTTTCCTCACGTGATCCAGCGCCTCTGCTGACACGTCACAGCTCCACTCATTTAGCAGCAGCGTCAGTTCCTGGTTCTCCAGCTCCTCCTCTGCTGTCAGTTCCTGAGTCTGCAGATTCCGCCACACCTCGTCGATCTTCGTAAGTACCGATCTCGGTAACACGGTGCAGGAGACGACCCCTCTGACCTGGCAAGACGGCAGCATCAACAGGTCAGCCACAGTCAGGTAGAAGCGACATTTACTCTTCGCAGCTGACAGGTGGAAGCGGAGCTCGTAATCACGCAGACACACAATGGCGTTTAAGAGGCTGCTGATGCTCTCCAGGTCGCATTGGTCCTGTAGACCCCCCCAGCAGGAGGAGGTCAGTACAGCTGGGATCTGGAGCACACTGTCTGAGAGGAAGATGAGTCCGGTGAAACCAGCAGAGCACTGAGTCTGGGACAGAGGCATTTGTCCCACATTCACGATTTGGGCCATGAAGGAGCCACCGTCACCAGCAGTACGTCTGTTCTCAGTTCCATAGCTGAGGATCAGTTCCTCGATCCAGGGCGTTATATGTTGAAACACGGCCATGTTTGAAGTTGTGCTGCGATGGTTCCTCAGTGTTCGTTTCATCATTGTCGTCTCACAGCAGCTAAAGATCAGAAGAAACAACAGAAACACAATAAACTGTGACGTCAGAAAACAAAAACTGCTACTGTTGCTGAAACGTTTGAATTTATCACACTTCTCTAGAATGATCACTAGACAAACAACAATGGAATTATGACCATGGTCACAACCGTATTAAAGACTAGTTTATTATAGATTGCAGGCTATTAGCGTTAGCCGAACATCCGAATTTGACCCCACCTCTGTCGACCAACAATCTTTAAAATAACACAAAAAAAAGTCACAATCCTAGCGGGGCGTCTGCGACGACATCAGAACTCATCCGCGGCATCCCAGTCCTAACTTTTAGTTAAGTTTTAAAGCGGTTGTTTTTTGACACCGGACCGTTTCTAAGTGATGGAACTTCCTGTTTCCGCTTTAGCCGATGGTGTGTTTATTTCCATCGGAATCTAATTCCGAACAAGACGCAGTCCGTATAATTGTACGTATTCACCTTTTACAATCGTTTTTGGTGTTACACCGTACGAAATTATGCTCAGAAACACCTGTCATGTCATGACGTTAGTTATGTTTTAAGTTTTTTGTTTTCACTACTTCATCCGCAGAGTCACTGTCTTGTGACTCTTGTTCATTCTGTTCGTTCCATGTGACAGTGAACGCAGCACGGACTTCACGTCTTCGTCTTACAATTCAAGCTTCTGGTGAATAATTTTACTGTAAACTCGGTGACAGAAAACAGAACGAGGCCGCGGTGTTCGTCGTGTTAAGGTAAGGCTTAAATTTATTTTGTAAACACAGAACAAATGCTGAACGTATTAAAAAATAACGCAACAAAACAACACTGTAAACACCGGGCCACACTGATTTGAAGTGTTTACTAGCTACGCCCTCTGAGCTAACTTCTTGGTGACTAAACATTTACTTATGTTTTCATTTTGTTCATGGTTTTTCCTAACAGCCGAGTATCGACTTCACAGCCGATGTTCAACCGTGATAAATGTAAACCCGGTTGAAGCCTTGAAGACTTTTTAGCCTGTTGAACTGGAAGCTAACAAAGCAGTTTTCAAAGGTTTTTCTTTTGAAAACTTGGTGTTTGTTTCTGTGTCAACGATGTTTGTGTCACATTAATGGAACGGTTTATAGAAAAACACGTTCAGGAGCCAAATTTATAAAGAGCTTTATGAGAAAAACAGAGTGACTTTGAAGGAACAATCTGATTGGACAGTGAAGTCTGAACATGTCTGGACTGTCAACTTCTGTCATAACTTGTGGAGTTTGGGCGATTTCTCCTGACAGAACCCAACCCTCAGGCTGACATGCCTGACTCTGAGGCTACGGTTTCAGACCCTCAGCATTCACAGAAACTGCTGCGGGTTCTTCGTACCTTCTGGCAGGAGCAGAGCTTCCATGATGCCCTGCTGGTGGTGGACGGAGAGGAACTTCCTGTCCAGAAGAACATCCTGGCTGCTGCCAGCCCGTACATCAGGTCAGGCTGGAACAGTTTCTGTTGAAGTCCACAGTCTGGGCGTGTCCACAGTCTGGGCGTGTCCACTGTGTCCACTGTCTGGGTGTGTCCACTGTCTGGGCTGCAGGTCTGCCTCAGACTGGACTAACATCATTGGTCCTGCTGTGTTTTCTGTCCAGGACCAAGCTGAACTACAACCCTCCAAAACAAGATGGCTCCATGTACAGGATCGAGCTGCAGGGCGTCTCCATGGCAACCATGAAGCAGATTCTGGACTACATCTTCAGTGGTGAAGTGAGTGTGGGGGCGTGGTTGAAGGTGTGGTCCGGCCCAGGGCCATGAACACGGAGCCAACCTCAGATCTCTACCTATTCAGGACGATTCCAGTTCCCAACACACTGTCATTTGGAACAGCCCTGCCCTGTGGCAGTGTGGGTAGTACACCTGCCTTACAGGAAGGCCGTCACCAGTGCACCGCTAAAAAATATTAACTTTCTGTATGGAGTTTCCCTGACCCTCTGTATGTATGAGGGGGGGTTGGGGTGTCGCTAAACTTTACCCTGTGGTGGACTGGAGAACTGTTCAGGGTGTAACGCCCCCTCCCACCTTCTCCCTGATCTCCACTCTCCCTCAATGACCGCCCTCATCCATAGACCTTAAAACCATTTAAAATATAAAATATATTAAAATATATGAAGTAATGAATGCACTTTCAAACCTGATCTGTTTTTGGGGTGCAATACAGTTTAGGAACTTCAGGGGGCAGTGTAGACAGTGAATGTTTATTGTAGGAAATCAAACTTTTTTTTCCTCCCCCAGATCACTTTGAGTGAAGACACCATCCAGGACATGGTGCAGGCGTCCGACCTCCTGCTGATGACCGACCTGAAGCTGCTCTGCTGTCAGTTTCTGGAGAGCTGCATCACTGCGGAGAACTGCATCGGTATCCGCCTATTCTCCCTTCACTACTGCCTCCACCACGTGTACTACACCGCCACGGAGTTCCTGCAGACGCACTTCAGAGATGTGGTGCTCTCGGAGGAGTTCCGGGAGCTGCCACCAGAGCGGCTGAAGGAGCTGCTGGCCATGGAGAAGCTCAACGTGGGCAACGAGAAGCACGTGCTGGAGGCAGCGGTCAGGTGGTTGGGTCACGACCCCGAGGTCCGCAAGGTGCGTGTCCAGGCCCGGCCCAGGGTCAGGAAGAGGACAAAGATGCAGGCCTATGTTAATGTCTTGTGTTTGTGTCTGAAGGTTCACATGAAGGAAGTGATGTCATCAGTGTGGATGCAGGGACTGGATGCCAACTACCTCAGAGAACAGGTACCACACACTAGGGAAAAAAAGACGTTTTAGTCAATCGGTCCAGATCCACTGCTGCCAAGTTCAAATTTTTTTTAGAAATTCTTTGTTTGGATTTATCAGCTACACAAACTGACCAGAGGAGGCAGCAGTGGACCTCTGTGTTTACTGATGTTCTCTACAGAGCCTGGTTGACAAATGCTAAATTCTTTGTCTGTGTGGTTGGTATCCCATCAGGCCATGGGGGAGCCTCTGATGAGGGAGGTGCTCAGAGACTACTGTCAGCCAGCTGTGGGGGGGGCTCAGCTCCAGGGCCAAGCTCTGCTGGATGCCTTCAAACCTCGAGGTTACTCCGAGTGCATCGTCATCGCCGGAGGAGAAGATCGCAAGTGAGTCACAGTCCAACCAGGAAACGGGATGCGGCCCGTTCTCTCTTGAAGAATGTAGTGTAGCAGCCAGTCTGTGATCTCTTCTCTGTTGGGTTCCGTACAGAACCAGGAAGCCCACTCCTGCCACACGCTGCATGTGTCCACTCTACGATGCCAACAGACAGCTCTGGATCGACCTGCACCCCATGGCTGTGGCCCGTCTGGGCCACGGGTTGGTGGCCGCTGGTTAGTATTGGTAGTTCATTAACTTTGTTATTGTTGCTGTAGTTTCTTGTAACTGACCAAAGGGGGCAGTAGCGCCCATGATGCTTTGAGCTCTGTCCTCAGCCTCACTATGATGCTGCAAATACTGTGTGGTTCAGTCCTAACTTCCACTTCCTGTGTGACAGAGGGCTTCCTGTTTGCAATGGGCGGAACCAATGAACAGAAGGTCCTGGACAGTGGAGAGAAATATGACCCTGACCTCAACACGTGGAGCCCCATCCCCCCCATGCTGCAGGTGAACTCCCCTCTGACCATCACTGTTGTTCAGTTCTGCAGAAGTTGAAGTGAAGGCCATTAAAATAAAAGAAAAGTGAAATGTTTTTATTGTTGAAATGGAAAAAAAGAAAAACAAAAGAAAAGAGACAGATGTCCAGCAGTTATTCTGAGGGAACACTAGGTGTCAGCAGAGCCACAGTTACTGTTTAGGTTCTTCTGTTGACTGGAGAAAAGTGCTGTTTGATGATGATGATGATGATGAAGGTGACACTGGTCTGACACAGGCTCGTCAGAACTTTGGTGTGGTGGAACTGGAGGGTCTGGTCTACGTTCTGGGAGGAGAAAACGAGAACATGGAGCTGGTCACCGTGGAGGTGTTCGACCCTCACTGCAACACCTGGAAGACACAGACCAGCATGACTATGATCCGCAAGGTACTGAACACTGTGTAGAACACGGTCCACTGATGGTTCTCTGTTAGTCAAAAACTGACCACAGGAGGCAGCAGTGGACCAGCGTCTCATGACTCACAGACGTTCTCTGTGGACTCTGGGAGAGTGATGAAAAGTGATAAGAACCTCAGGTTCTGTTGTGATGTGTCTCCCCCTGCAGGTGGGCTGCTACGCCTCCATGAATAAGAAAATCTACGCCATGGGCGGAGGCTCCTACGGGAAACTCTTTGACTCCGTGGAGTGTTTTGATCCGAAGACACAGCAGTGGACGGGCCTGTGTCCACTGAAGGAGAGACGGTAAGTCTGACCTGAACTGAACCCACAGCCACTGAACCACAGCGTTGACCAGAGTCATGAGATGTTTTTTTTCTTCTTCTTCTTGCGTTCTCTTCACGTTCCCATGTGAATGGAGCGTTCGATTCCACAGAATTTTTAGTTTCACATTTGTATTAATGACTCCCTCATGACCCACCCCTCACTCTGACATGTGGACATGTTTCACATCATCTGTAACTGATTCATGAGCCCAACGTCCAGGGACCGAGGGTGTGTGCGTTTCCTGTCTTCATCAGGCCCCGCCCCCTTTGATGACGCCTTCAAAACACCCTGTCACTGGATTTTTGTTGTCGAAAGTGTGTTGTTTTCTCACTGCTGACCACGCACACTTCCTCCCTACGCCGTCCCACGGGAGAAAAAGAAGAAACATTTAACAAAGACGCAGTTGATGAAGTCTGTGTCCGCTCCAGTCTCAGCCTGGGGACAGAGCCACAGACCGGCGGTTGATCACACCTCACCCTGTCCCACAGTTCAATTTGCTGACTCAGCTTCCTGTTCAAAAACATTGAGAAACTGTCAGCACTTTTTTCCTAGAACGAATCGTTCGTTGAATTCACTCACCCTGTGTTTCCTGCTCAGGTTCGGCTCGGTGGCGTGTGGCGTGGGACAGGAGCTCTACGTGTTTGGAGGCGTCAGAAGTCAGGAGTCGGAGAACCCCGAACAGAGACAGATGACCACCTGTAAATCTGAGTTCTACCTCAACGACATGAGGAGGTCAGGACCATCGGTGTGAATGGGAGTGTGAATGGGAGTGTGAATGGGAGTCGAGGTTTAATTTTAGATATAACTGCAGGCAGGCCAAAGGTCAGAACGTTTGAACGGTGTGAATGGGAGTGTGAATGGGAGTGTGAATGGGAGTCGAGGTTTAATTTTAGATATAACTGCAGGCAGGCCAAAGGTCAGAACGTTATCCTCCAGCCCATTGGCAGGCTAACTTTTAGCTATCTTGTTTAATTTGTGTACAAAGAGGAAACAAAAAAGTTTTTAAATATATTTTTTCATATTTAAACTTTTGTAAACATGGGTCTCGGTGGCGTGTGATTGGCTCAGGTGGATGTTCCTGGACGACCAGAACCTCTGTATCCAGACCAGCTCGTCCTTCGTGTACGGCGCCGTGCCCATCGGTGCCAGCATCTTTGTGGTGGGCGACCTGGATACAGGTGAGTGATCAAAGGACGTTTCTCTCTGTAAAAGGAGAGGCTGTGATTGGAGGAGAGCCGTGGACACGTTATCGTTCTTTGTCAAACTTTAAATGTCCAGTTAACACGTCCCCGAGTCTTCGTCCCTGTAACAGTACCTAAGAACCTGAACCACGTCCTGTTCCTGCAGGTACAAGCTTCGACTACATCCGCGAGTTCCGACGCACCACGGGGACCTGGCACCGAACCAAACCCATGTTAGCCAACGATCTGTCCAAAACAACATGTGCCGCGCTGCGCATCGCTAACTGTCGGCTGTTCAGACTCCAGCTGAGCCAGGGAATGTTCCGGATCAGAGTCTGAGTCCAGCACTAAGTCTGCACAGAGGGAACGTTCTGGATCGAACTCCGTTTTTCTGTCTGCGATTCCAGGATAGAAGAACTAAACTGTTGTAAACCTAGCTAACACTGCTGCTAAAGCTAATGGAACAACGAGCGACACTTTTTATTCCAGATTCTGGTTCCTTAACACTAATTATCTCGTTTCATTTTTGTCACATTTTTCTGACTCTGGTGATGGATTCTAACCCTCGACCTGAGGCGCTGTGCTGTGTCATGTTTTTATTAGAAGTCCTCGCTGCGGTCTGTGTTTTAGTTGGAAACCGGCCACTCGCCCACACCAAAGTCCACAGAGAAAATCAGCGATTTAAACTCACAGGAGCCGCTGGCTCACTGCTGCCTCCTGTGGTCGCTTTGTGTCACTGAAGTAGATCTTAATTATGGACCAGGGACTAGAAAGCGGGGTGTGTTGTCAAGCTGCGGGGCGGCCTCTGTGACCTTTTGACCTGGCTTTCCAGTCAGAACAGTTTTGGCGTCACTTGACCTCGTTTGTCGTGTGTGAGGACGTCCAGCTGCTGCTGTCTCTCTCTCTCTCTCTCTCACACACACTCACACACACATTCTTCAGATCAGAGAATGTCTTTTCTCTTCTTCTCTCCCAAAGAAACCTGGGAAATGTTTATGACTCCTCCCTGATTGTCTTACGTCATCCTGCTAGCTTGCTAATGCAGAGCTTTTTTTCTAATTTATTTCAGTACGTTATTGATAAGGGTTAAATGATCTGTGCTTAAATTTTATAAAGTTTTATTTGCTTTTTTTAAATTTCTAAATTTTATATTTTGGGGCTAACCTTTTGTCACCTTTTTTCCATTTTTGTTTCCAAACCAACCTTTTTGCCTTCTATGGAACACTTTAGTCCTGGTCTGTAATCCTAATCCTAATCTGTAGCTGATGTGGATGGTCGGAGGTTAGGGTTAGCTACAGAAGACCGCTTGGACATTTTAGCTTTGACAAAGTTCAAATTTTAACGTTGGAAGAGAATTTAAAGGACTGTCGTTTGAACGTCTCCACGGGACGTGTGTGTGTGTGTGTGTGTGTGTGTTCTCTGATCAAATGTTCGTACGTCTGTGTGATGTCACACTTTTGTTTACGACTTCTGTGTGATGTCACACTTTTGTTTACGTGATGTAGCTACGATGGTTCATGTCAAAAAAAAAATTAAAATCACTAAAATTGGTGTGACTTTTATTTTGTAAAAGTGTTTGAAACAGTTATTGTCGCTAAGAACCATTGAAATGTTAACAATAAAATATCGATATCGAGGTTTAAAAGTAAAAAAAATCAATTTATTTTAAATATATTTTATTGTGACACGTATTTTACACATGAACAAGTTGTTGATGAAACCAAAACGGCAAGAATTAGAAGAGACAAAAAAACATCGATTTGATTTACGATAATAAATAAATACGTTTATAAAAATAAATGAAAAGAAAAAAAGAACGAGACGATCTGCACGGTTCCTTTTGGAGAAAGAAGTGGAAAACAACGCCCCCTACCGACAGACTGTCACAAAAAAATAGGCACAGCTCATCCGCTCACCTCCCTATTGACGTCACTACAGTGTCACGTGACTAAGGAGGAGCCAATCAGTACTCTAAAAGAGAGAGAGAGAGAGAGAAAGAGAGTCAAGGAGAATCATCAGAGCAGGAAAATAAAAGCGTCTCAGGACCAGGACCAAGACCTGGACTCGGATTTGGACCAAGACCTGGACCCAGTTGCTCTGTGATTCGTTCGGTTCCCGTTGTGGTTTTGTGGAGTCGGTTCGTGTGGAGGATCGTGTACCGGGTTTCAGACCGGACCAGGCCATGGCTGTGACGTGTTGAAGAGCCGTCTGTGGACGCGCGCCGTGCGTGGGGGAGGAAGGGGATATGCTGGATTATAATCCGAGTGTGTTTGTCTTCATTCTGTGAGAAAATCCTTCATCTGCCTCCCCCTTCTCCTCCCCCTTCAACACCGCGGATCCGTCGCCTTGAGGCCGCGTCCGTGTCGGGCCTTGTCCTCCCCTCGCTCTCCTCCCCCCTTCCTCCTCCTCCTCCGTCCATTTCTGCTCCGCACATACATGTAGCTGCGCCGCGCGTGTGCGTGTGAGAGGCAGACGCGCGTCCACAGGGATAAACACACGGAGCTTGGATTAATTTATTTCTCATATTTTCGGGGACATGGAGTTTACCAGCGGAGGAGTGGGGGGAGGAGGAGGCGGAGGAGGAGGAGGAGGAACCAACAAACAGTTCTACCACCATCACCATCACCACCACCTCCATCAGCAGTGTGAGGAGAACAAGCCTCTGCTGGGAGACATGTTCGAGAGCAACAATAACAGCAGTAACGGCAGACTGTGCGGCAGGAGCAAACCGCTGCAGAACAACGGCAACGGCGGCGGCGGCACGGGCGGCAGCGGCGGCGGCGTCGTGAGCGGCAGCTGCGGAAGCAGCGGCAACGGTGGAGGGATGAGATACAAGCTGCTGCACGAGGGCGACATCCAGGTGTGCGTGCTCAAACACCCGCGCACGTTCCTCAGTAAGATCCTCACTGCCAAGTTCCTGCGCAGGTGGGAGCCGCACCACCTGACCCTGACGGACAGCTGCGTCACCTCAGCTACGGTGAGTGGGCGTGGCCTGTCAGGCTCCTCCTACTTTGGAGTTCTTTAAATTGTTGTGAAGGTGCTGTGGTGTGTAACCTGTAATAATATAATAATAACATGTTACTAGTGCAGTACAGAAAGGCCCGGACCAGAAACCAGGTCCTGGACGTGTTTACATCACATGACCAGACAGGACAACCACAGGAAGTCCTGCGCTAGTTTAAGTTTTTACTTCCTGTTCAGTTTATCAGATACTGTTGTCGTTGAGTTAGTCTCCAAAGCCAAAGTCTGATGAAGAAAACCAGCGATTTTAGCTCAGTTTACCTGAGTTACACCAGCTGACCACAGGAGGCAGCAGTGGACCAGCGGCTTCTAAAACCGATTTTGTCTGTGGACTTTGTTTTTGGAGAGGAAGTGGTCCTCCTCAACTTAGACACAAGTTCTCCAAGTCAACATTACAAATATCACCCATACTACTAGTACTAGTACTAGTACTAGTATTACTGTGTGTGTTGATAATAATAATTCATAATAATAATTTCAGCTCGTTTTCAAAGTCTCCCTTATATCAACATGTCTGACATTTTCCACTGTTTTATCTACACACACACTCTGTGTGTGTGTGTGTGTGTGAGATCACCAGAAATCTTGTTTCCTCAGGTACTTGTTTACATCAGTGTCATGATTCATTTTACTTCCTTTACAGTCACAGTATTGTTCATGAACAGATCAGTGAAATCATCGTACAGTTGAGAAACTTCACTCCTCTGTACAAAGAGCCTGGAAAAAAAGGACCAACCAGTTCCAGGAACTTATTGTAGCAAGAACAGGATTTCTTTGTTTGTCTGGTCTAAATTGAAGTGAAAGTCCAGTGAAGATGGACGACTCCAGGACTGAAGCACCAGGACTCGGTGTCTGTATCAGCCAAACGTCTCGTTTCACAGATAACAGTTCTATAAAAGCAGATGGAGTTAAAACACTGTGTGCCTTCAGTGTTACTGCACACAGTGTCCAGTGCTGTGCCTGGTCCTGGTATTCAAGGTGGCACATGTAGCCTGTGTCGTTTTTTTTTTCTTAGTTAAGTTGTCTCTGAGATTTAGTCTGAACTAAAATCCCATTTTTAAGAGTCTAACGGTGATGTTGGTCCGTGTAAAACACACGAGGCCACGTTAGGTTCAGTGAAGAGAACAAACACAAAGTCATAGAGTTGATCAGGTTTTGGTCAACTTTTGATGTGAGGACAGGACAGAGGACAATGAGACATCACTGCTGTCCCAGAGACATCCCCACTGGACACTGTGACTGACTGTTAACAGCCGGCTGTTGTTTCTGTACTTTATACAAACCATCATTAGAAAATCTGCACTGTCCCTTTAAGGCCATGTATGAAGACACGCAGCTCAGTGTCTTCTGTTTCCTTCTGTCGCGGAGGTCTTTCTTTTGTTTTCATATTCAAACAGACTCATCACATCAACTCCCAGCAGTCACTGCTGTCTTCCTCTTTGCCTGGCAGCGATCAGCTGATCTGAACCAGGACGTACAAGTCGTCCAACCAAACTCACGTCCTGTTCTTCTGCTTTCAACATCAGAAAAACGACACATTCTGTTCATGAAGGAAAACCCTTTCAATCCATGTTTGATTCACAGTCTGCGTCAGTCCAGATATTTGTCTGGATCACTGTGTGTGTGTGTGTGTGTGTGTGTGTGTGTGTGTGTGTGTGTGTGCTTATTGGAAAGAAACTTCACACACGTCTGAATCAGTTTGGCAGCAAAAATAGTAAATAGTTCTTTGCTCCTTAGTAAATGTAAGAAGGCCAAGTTTATCTCCGACGTCTCAAGGACATGTCCTCTCCTTTATCTGAGTGTTAAACACATTTGTCCTACAGGAAACCGACGTTTGTTAAATACTAACATTTTATCACCAATGTCTGGAGAAAGAAATCAGTGATTTTAGCTCCTGTGTCTCTGTGAGAGTCAGTGGTACCGATGGTTCAGTCTCTCAGAGTCAGTGGTACCGATGGTTCAGTCTCTCAGAGTCAGTGGTACCGATGGTTCAGTCTCTCAGAGTCAGTGGTACCGATGGTTCAGTCTCTCAGAGTCAGTAGTGTCGACGGATTTCCTCGTCGTTGGGAGTTTTTTGTTCACTTCCTTTTCAAAGGAGAAGTGTGACTGAAGTTCTGACGTCAGAGTCCGTCGTTCATCTCTTCTTCTGCCAGACCACCATGAGAAGTGAAACTGTGGTCTCCTCTAGCTCCTCCTCCTGGACATTGTGACGTTCTTGTAGAACGACTCGAGGTTCTTCTTTGTCTGAGCGTCGCTCTCATCAAACCACACTTCAATTTTCTGCCTGTTTATTTTTTTATGTGAGGATTCTGGACATACGAAGAAACAGTTCCTGTGCTGTGTCAAAACAGGTCCAAACAGTTCCTAAAAGTACCAGGACTTCCTGGTGTCTTTGTCAGTCAACAGTCGTCTTAAAAAAGTGCCCATTAGTCACAAATAACAGTTCTGTTGAAACGGTTCCACTTGTGAGCTAAGGTTTTAAAAGTGCTACAGGGAATTTATGCAGACAGTTCTCCACCAATCAGAAGACAGAGGGCTATAAGCTCCGCCCACATTGTTATGTTCTCTCTCTAATGGTCCTGCCTCTGGAACAAGAACTAATCTTGAGTCCTGGTACTTGGTGCTGTGTAGACATGTGTAATTTCTGGTACTTTTTCCAGTAGAACAGCGTAGGGTTCTCCTCTTCTTCTTCTTCTTCTTCTCTTCTTTTTCTTCTTCTTCTATTTCTCTTTTCTTCTTCTCTTCTTCTTCTATCGCGGCCTGTTTTTCCCTGGAAACAGTCCAGGAAAAACACTGCCTCTCCATCCTGCTGTTTCTATGGCAACGCAGCAGTGAGGAGGAGGAGGAGGAGGAGGAGGGGACGAGTGTTTCTTCTCTTCTTCTTCTCCATCTTCTCAGCAGAACACCAGGAGAGAGAGACAGTGATGGTAGAGCGAGGTAGACCTCAGTGGGAGCTGCTTCCACAGGAAGTTCCTCCCGTCTGTTTCCTCCAATTAAAAACTCTAATCTGATTTGTTCTAATGATCTGTCATAAATCTGGAAGAGTGATTGACGGGCTGTGGGCGGGGCTTAATGATGACTGAGGGACGATAACCAGTTTAGTATAAAAGTAGAACAAAGAACGTTCTAGAAATATCACCAGGACAAATGTGTCCTGCTAAAGCTAACAGTTAGAGCTAAATAAAACACTGACACGGCAGAGCTAAAAGTATGTTTTAAAAATGAGCAAAACCTGAACTAAAGGTTGACCCAGAATTAGCTACAGGTTAGCGAAAGAAAATCTGACGTTAGCTGGAAGAGGAGGAGGAGAAACCACGTCTGTGATCATCAGTGACGCTAACGTCTTACGAGGTCGTATTTTAGGAAAAGAATAAAAACTGTTGATTCATCTGAACTGTTACTGACACACACACACACACACACACACACACACTGACACACACACACTGACACACACACACACTGGTCACAGACGTCGTTTCTCCTCAGTCCTCATTGGTCCACAGCCACAGTTTCCTCTGTGGCTTCAACTCAGCCTCCGTATTTTTATTTGTTTACATTCTGCTCCTCCCCCCCCCCCCCCCCCCCCCCCCCCCTCTTCCCGCTCCTCCCACTCGCGT